ACGCTGGTACCATGAGGGAACGGCGAGAAAATGATGATTCGAGTGGCTAGCACTCGAAAGTTTCGTGCGCAAGCTTATGAGCAGCAACAATCGACCAGAGTTCGGTCAGAGCTATTTCTGTGAGCATTGTATGGGTATAAAATAAATTTAAAAAAGTCTGACTCACCTTTCCCTACGATAGCTTCTAAAACAATCGCTTCCGACGGTATCAAAAGACCTGATAACGATTGACGAAGGTCTGGCCCAATTAATTGAAGAAGACCGACGGTCGAATAGGTGGACGACACTGGAAAGGGAATGTTAAGAAAAAAAATTGTCTATAGATGACCGTATTTGAAAAAATGCCCCAATTATGTAAAGATTATCCCTACTGATTATTTTTTAATTAAAAATTATCTCCGACGTTCCATGGAGCGCTCGGACTTAAAGAGGAGCCGTACAACACGCTCAACTTCCCATTGTTATGTAAAACTTCGCATTATATTATATTATCATATATTATTACACGGTTGTAATTATTATAATATACACAAAATATAGATTTGACGGAGTCAAAAAAAAACTGTTAAAAACCCAGAAAACCAAATTACGGTACCTATAGGGATCTTAGGAGGAGTACAAACAAATTAGCGACCTACATATAAACAAGATATCGTTGTTGTTCATGTATGTATTTAAACAACAAACATGTATGTAGGAACTCGTTGAAAAATGCTGACCAAAAAGTAAATTGTCGACGGGCAACAGAAAGGTCAAATCATCAATCATCAAAAAAGGGGGAAATCAAGAAAATAAAATAGGTGCCCAAAAAGAAGAAACTGAAACGGCAAAATTCTGTTTTTTCGAAAATTGAGCTAGTCCAGCCTATCACTGTTTTTATGAGCTTGTTTGTATTTTTTATGAAGGAAAATTTCTATTTAAATTGAAAAGATTATGAAAATCCTATTAAGAGGCCCTGGAAATCGTCGGATCATAGGACCATTTAGCTTTTGAGACTTGAGCGTATACCAGAGTTTATGACAAAGAAAAATCAAAAAATTCACGAAGGGATTTCATATTTTATGAGATAAAAACTCAAAGGTCATTTATGAAATGTTATTTTATGCCCAGGGTGTGTTATTTATGAAAAATAATTCGGTTCATTTGAGTGAGTAAACATATAAATTTAAGAATGTCAATAAAAAAGCCTACTTCGAGTAGGAAGCAAGGTTTTCGCGAGCAAAGTCTTCTATCATACTATACAATCGATTATTCTCAAGGATTAGTAAGAAATCATGGTGGATAATTAGCCAATAAATAATTTTCTTCTGCAAAAAAGTATTGACATTTATTATCTCAACTTCGCACGCCCAAAAGTGCTTGCTAATGTAAGATTGAAGCCGCTGAAACACTGAACTATTTTTATTTACAACAGTTTACAACAGTTTGTGATCACGAATTTGACCGAATTCCAGAACTATCATCAAACTGAGCTCCGGTGGAACTGACAATGATTTTGTTTACTTATGTTTACAAAACCCGAATTTACCTCTGCTATATCCATCACTGCCTGTGCTGCCACCTCCACCACCACCACCACCACGGATGATATATGCAGGAAAATGTCGAGATCGTGGATGTGGTAGTGAATGATGTGAAACGGATCGATAACGACTCGAATACGATAATTCCGAGTCAGAATCGGATGAATCAAATGCCGGATTCAGAAATACTTCACCCATCACGTCACGGGTAATTCCCAGGTAGCTGAGCCTTGTCTTTCTGATGAATTCTCAACGATCAGAATCCAGTCAGAAGATTTGGATTAGACTGACTGCAGGTGCATTCAATGAATCCTAAATTCGTCAGGAATGGACCAGTATCGATGATATCGCGAATTAGAGTCAGGATATACTAGTTACTGAATGATAACTGTCCGTAAGATCGGTGACGGTATCGGCGGTGAACACTGAGCGGATGGAGCGAGCAAAAGCGCACGATTTGAGGCTGGTTTCGTATTGCGAGATCACTAGACAAATACGCAGCGAGACAGTATGGGCGTGAAAGAGTGGGGGGAGATGTAGAGACATGAAAAACTGCTTGAAAAACGATAGAAAAGCACGAGACGCAGATCTACAAAGAGAAGCATTTCGGAGAGAATTATTATTAATAGAGATTGACACTATACAAACGATTATCTGGGTGAAAGTCAAACACCGGGTTAAAACTCCCACATCTCCGACGTGCGTACAACCTTCGGCCCGCCTCCGCTGCCGGTAGCTGAAAAGAAATGACAGAAGAAGGGATGAGATTGACCCAGAAGAAGTGAAATGGAAAGCCGAAAGGGAGAGTTGATAGGTGTGGATAATTGACAAGTGATTCCCG